ACAGCTGGGGCTACAGGGAGACCCTGTCTCAAAAAGATAAAAAAAAAGTGGGTTCCCTAGAAGTGAATTATTATCCCCAGTCAGAGCATAGATGCAAGGCTGTCCCCTCAGCCCTTCTAGACTTTTATTTTATATATATAATCTTATTCAACATAAAGAACATGCATATTGACAGCTGGGGCTACAGGGAGACCCTGTCTCAAAAAGATAAAAAAAAAGTGGGTTCCCTAGAAGTGAATTATTATCCCCAGTCAGAGCATAGATGCAAGGCTGTCCCCTCAGCCCTTCTAGACTTTTATTTTATATATATAATCTTATTCAACATAAAGAACATGCTTATTTAAAACTTGGCTTTTGATTCTGCCTTCTCCAAACGCAGATTGGGTGGTCTCTGATGACGCACAGTCCGGTGCTTTGGCAGACCTGTGTGTGCTTGTGTCTGAAATCTGTTGCTGTCTAACTCCAGGGATTTGCGGGTAGCAGCCTTTTAGCTGCCACTGGACCTCTTCTTGGCTCCAGACCTTGTCAGCAGTAATTGGGTGTTATTTCAGTCTGACAGCTGTTTGGTTTCTTCAGCATGCTAAGTCATTTAAGTATGGCCTAGTAGCAATTGTTGCCTGAATTGTAGAAAAAAAAGGGGGGAGGGGGAAGCAAGAAGATAAGGAGGAAGCTGATCCATGTCACCGATTAAATGGCTCTGAATGAACACAAGTCCGTTGACTGGTTTCTTGTCTTCACCAGACAAGTTAGTGTGTTGCTTCCAAGTTCCTCATCTGCATCAATGACAGAGATTTTTCGTGGGTGTAAATGCTTGTAGACATCTTGTGCCTTATGCCTCCTTTCCAGGGTTCCTTAGAAAGAAGACTGGGAATGTAGCTCAGCAATAGAGCACTTGTCTAGTGTGCAGGAGGGCCTAGGTTCAAGCCTCAAAACTGTAGAAAAACCTTAGGAGGCAGAGGCAGGCAGATCTCTGTGAGTTCCAGGCCAGCGGGGGGCTAAAGGGAGCCCCTGTCTCAAAAAAAAAAAAAAAAAAAAAAAAAAAACACCTGTAGAAAAACAAACAAAGATGGTTACTTCCCTACTGACAAAAGACTCCTCAAGAAATTAGCAACACAGATAAGGACTAGTTGAGACTGGAAAGGACATGCAGAACAGTCTTGTCCTTGTGCCCGCTTTGCACCCTGGAGATGAGACTATAAATAGGAAATCATCAAACTCCTTGTTTCCTTCAGGGTACATAAAGCATGTCCCTTTCCCTTTTATTGCTAGGAACAGATAGTGTTAAGCAGCAGAGCCAGTCAGTAAAAGGAAGGAGAAGGGGTGTATGTTGTTATAAAAAGAAAAGGATGAGGGGCTGGAGAGATTGCTCAGCGGTTAAAAACACTGTTTTTGCAGAAGACCTGGGCTCGAATCCCAGCACCCACATGGCAGTTAACAACTGTCCATAACTCCAGTTCCAGGGGATCTGACAGCCTCTTCTGTCTTCTGCGGGCATTGCACGACACAGGTGCACTTACCTACATGCAGGCAATACACACATACACATAAAATAAAATAAATAAAATATTTTTTTAAAAAAGCATGAAAGGAAAATATCCTGTATAGTTCAGCTAGGGAGATTAGAATAGAACAGCACAGGCATTTAGTGAGCCTGTGCTGGGATGTTTAACACATTAATTGAATATTAAGATGAGTCCTTTTCCAAGATGACATGGTGGTACACACTTCTGATCTCAGCACTTAGGAGGCTGAAGCAGGAAGATTTTGAGCTCCAGGCCAACCTGAGCCACAGTATAAGACCCTGTCTGAAAAGAACAGGGGCTGAAGGGTTGGAGAGATGGCTCAGTGGTGTTCTTGCAGAAGACCCAGGTTTGAATCCCAGAAGCCACATGGCAGATAACAACTGTCTGTAATTCCAGTTCCAGGGAATCTGACGCCCTCTTCTGACCTCCGCAGGCATTGCACAACACAGGCGCACTTACATACATGCAGGCAATACACGCACAAAATAAAAGTAATAAATAAAATGTTTTTTAACCTACTGACAAATTATACATACAACCAGATCAAAGAATGTAATACAAGCCTAGGCAAGGTTTAACTGAGAGCATTTGGTCTTTTCCCAAGCTCTATCTATATGGCATATGGTAATTAAAAGTACTAGACTACTCAAAAAGACCAAAAAAAAAAAAAAAAAAAAAAACCCTGGTGGAACTAACCTTCTTGGATGTTTAACAGTCATACTTTAAGGCCTATACTAATTTGGTCAGGGGGCATAAAGGACAGTTTTTGCTCCTTGCCCTCCTAGGTTGACTAAGTTCCAGGGGACTATGAGCATCTCTCAAAATGTCCTGTAACTGTGGTGAGTCACCTGTCCTCTTGAGCAAGGAGCCTGTGGAGACCCCGCCAGATGGACCTGAACCAGTGTCTAGTGAAGCCAGCCATGGTCAAACATGACTTTTGTCTTACCTTCACATAGACGGAACTGA